GTAAAGGACAGATGAGTGACAGGACAGGAGGCCAATCAGATTTCACCTGGGGCCAATGCCCCTGTGGCCCCGCCCCTAGAACCACTCCTGCCCTAAAAACAAGCAGACCCACATCTAACGCTAACATACTCATTTTAAAATAACTCCAGTCTTCTAAATKTATTAACAGTTTATTTAAATGCTACTTTAAAAACATTAACATCACTGCCAATTAGTTGTATACTGTAGTTCTGGCAGAATTGAAATGAAACACCTGTTGGAAGCGACATGCTGCAGTGGGAATGCTACAGCTAGCTGCTGCTGTGAGTATTCAATATAACAGTTCTGTGGTTAATTTGCAAATAAACATAGAATTCTATGATAATCATTTAATGTTAATGAAAAAAAATGAAAATTTTGCATGATGAAAAGCTATCACAATTTTTTTTTAGTTTGCAGTTGTAGGACAACAGAATTGTGGCCTTAGTTCAGACTAGCTGTACCTAAAAATAAGCATATTTTGAGACATTCACCTCTGCCCTGAAAAAATCTCATTTTGATTTCCTCTAAAAAAATAATAAAACCAAATGACAGCAGCTCAGTTTTGATGAATATAATTGTACAGGTCGCAGCATTGCTGCTAATGTTCGGAGGGTCTTCTGTTTTTCGTGGGGTCAGATTCTGCAGAACACGTGGCGACATCATAGCCATGACCTTTTGACCTGCTGTTAATCCAGCTTACTGGAGACACAGAGAGGATTGCCCGAAGAGCTCAGCCTGATTTCTGGCTTTGTTTACAACCTGTCATTACAATCACATGGTCTTCACTGCCGCATTGTCGCCAAGCCAGTTTTAATGACACATTCCTCCCTCTGTGGGTGATCATCCAGCAATGCTCTGGCTCCCATCAGCTGTTTCTTAGAGGTCTGTTTGCTCGTTATAAAGCAGAATAATAATGACCTCTGGGCTATGATAAACTACACAGCTCCTTAAAAACAAACCGCACTGATTCCCCTGAGTTCCACCGCGCTTTCCTTCCTGGGTCACTCAGCGTGGGGCCTCCTGTGCTTCCTCCACCAACTCCGGTCTACCTTTATTYACCAGCATCACCTTTCCATCCCTGCAGCCGGAGGAAGAGATCTCATTAGTTATGCACAGCGCTCGCTCGCCGAGAACAGTCGTTATTTAGAGCAAAAAAGCGAGGAGCAACTTCGACAAGCTTTTTCACTGGAAACCCAGTGGGTGGTTCTGCGTCGACCGAGCTCGCTCTGCCTTTCCCTGCTCCTGTGAAGTCTCCTTTTAATGAAGAATCAGAGGGAAAATGCCCACAGAATGAGTCAGCGAGCGCAGAAACACAGAGAGGGAGGATATCTGTCACAGTCTGAGACAGAAGTAGGGTGTCAYCGAAACTAATTTCGTCATGTTGTCCCCCCCCCTCCTCTGTAGGCGTCTGTGTATCTGTCAGATGGCTGCTAATATCTGACAGTTTACTGACCTGTTTAAATGTGATAATAAATGTTATTTTTCCATTCTGCCACATCTATTGTGTAACTCTTCATCACACAGAGGATGAAGAGTCATCTTTGGTTCTGGCTGATCACCATCAGTGTTTGCTTTACTTAACTGTGGGTGGGGGGTGGGTATAATCAAACAATCAAACAAAAAAAATCCCTCCTTCTGGAAATCAACATAAATATAGGACATTCGAGATGCTAAAGGACTTACCGTCTCCCTGACAACGGTCTCCAAGCAACCATTACTCCTCAAAGCTTTCCTCCAACCCCGGCTCGTTGCTCTCCCTCTCCTCAGCCCCTCCGCGTCTTCGCCAGATCGACTTCCTGTCAAGAGTTCTTCGGCRTCTCCGCTCCACGCAGTCCCGGTTCCAGCGTCAGAACCCTTGAGAAACTGCACCTACCTGATGCTGCAGCGCCCCAGCGCCCGCCGCCTCGCACCTTCTGATTCGGAGGCTGGCAGGGACGGGTATTTTTAGGCAAACCCCCAAAGATCCAGTTCTTGAGGACAATGTTATTTGAATTTTAAGGTAATTCGATCAGTTTTTTTTCATTGATAGTTCGTGATAATAAAATCAATCTCATCGCACTGAAGCCCAGCGGAGTTCGTAACTAAAGTGCAAAAGAAAGAGCGAATGTTCCCTGGATTTCACACTCTACGTGTCTTATTATCCCCTGAATCACCGTCTCTGAGCTGGAGTCAGAGCACTTCTACTCTTCCATTAGCTGGCCTTTTCACTGCCATACCTGGAAACTATAAATATTAATGCTCCACTTTYAGCTGTTATTGCAGCGCACCGGAGCAATTAATAACCATTTTAAATACACTTGTGTTAGACAAGTCGGACCGTCTGCTGTGAGTCATCTGAATTTCACTCTCTCTCGTGTCTCCTGGACTAAGAAGGTTTAAAGTCCCTCTGGCCCGGAAAGCAATCTACAAAAAGTCAATCATTCCACTTTGAACCGTTTTAAAAACGAACTGTTTTACACGCCTTTAACAGTCTCCTTTTAATGTGTTTGCATGTGCTTTTTACCCCGAGTGWTTATTGTAATTTAAGTGCAACACTGCTGTTGTTTAAGCTTTGTCAAAGAAATGATTCAGTCACCGTCTGGGACAGAGAATAAAGTTTTTCTTTTTTATTCTATTCTTGCTGATTGGCTGCAAATTGATCGACTAAATGGGCAACACACGATCTAGCTAATGCTAACCGCTCATTCGATCGGCTTCATGTAAAACAGATGCTGAGCTCAGTAATGTAATTCAAACATTTGGGGCTGTCATTCACGTGTCAAACTCAAGACTCCCGTCTGGGAGTATGAAAGTTGTTTCTTATATCAATGGCAAACTTGAAATTTATGGTTAAATGCAGCAAAATAAACAAATTTATAAGTGAAAGATAGTACTTATCCTGCCCCCGAGCTGTTGGCTATATGTGACTGAGCAATTTATTTGTATAGCACAGTAATAATGTCTTATAATGACTTAATAAGCTGCTTTATCCAATATCAACCACAAACTTAATCTCTCATATTGCATGTCGATCATCCATGGGAACAACTGTCCCTTTAAGGGCCATCATAACACTCATGTGGCCCTCGGTGAAAATGAGTTTGACACCCCTGCTGTAGGTGGTCTAAAAGAAGTGGAGTAGGTCCACTGGATGAGTTCTTCTATGCTGAAAACACATTTTGTCTCTTCTTCAAGAGACTTCTTCAGTCTGAGGAGTTACAGGTAAACTCAGCCTTATAAGCAGTTCCTCCACATGGTGGACAAACAATAAGGACCCAAGGTGACCCTAGTGTCACTGCCCACCTTTAACACTGAGAAGAGCAAAGGTAAGTTATCACTTAAACAGCTTCACCTTCTTAGTKCATCCCAAAGATCCAGTTCCCCAGCAAAAACAGAGTAATATACAGTAGTATATGCTGTTAAGTGTCAGGAGGACTGTGATCAGTCATACATTGGGGAAACAAAACAAAAGAATGAGCCAGCACAGACGAGCTACTTCGTCGGGTCAGGACTCTGCAGTTTACACGCATCTACAGGCCAGCGGTCACACTTTCAGGGATGAAGATGTTCTCATTCTTGATAGAG